GACCCTCCGTGGGGCGGCCCCGGCGCTTGTCCGAGGCCTTTGCCCCTGGGTAGCGCAACGCGACTTGGGGGGCAGCGTGGTTTCACGTGGTAATTCCGCGTAGTTATGTATAAACACGCAACTACGCTGACAGAATTCGAGCACCTGCGTCTCCCTGCATTCCCGTGCGCGTTCAGGCTGGGCAGGGGCAGGGAGGAAGGCTGCCCACCTCGCCTGCTCGAGGACGCATCGGGCCGGCTGCCTGTGTGCCCTTCGTGGCCGCCGGCTGCTTCCCCGGCGGCAAAGTGAGTGGTCGGGGGGTTTATCCATGCAGCCAAAGGAAGAATATCCCATGATGGAGGCAGTTCCAAAGACAAATCCAAAGGAAATCAGCCCAGCCACTTCCTAATCCCTCATCACGGCTTTCTACGGGGCTGCTCACCGGCAGAGCGTGTCCACGTTCTTCCACTCCTTCGTGCTGTCCAAATTCCCACCTCTGCGGGGTGGAAGGCGCACCAGAGTTTTGCTCCACCTCTGCCTCATTGAAACAATGAGCGTTTTCCACCCTTTCCCCCGAAACAAGCCCCTACTTCCCCCTGTTTCTTTCACCCCAGGTTTATCCTGACTTGAGGTTGTCCTGGGTGAGGGCCGGCCCTTCCCGGCGCGCACCTCCGGCTGTCAGGCGGGAGGCGAAGGAGGCTTTGGGCCAGACCTCACCCCATGGGCGGCATCCACAGCACCAGCCCCGGGCTGCGCTGCTCCTGCTGCCGCCCTCCCAGGTACCTCCGAGGTCTCTCCTCACCCAAGCAGGTGGGAAGAGAGGAGGAATATGAATTTTCCTTCCAGCTCTTCTTTTACTGTTTCAAATGTCCCTCCGGTCACGGAGTTGGCCCCACACAGCACACAGCTCCATGTTCCCCCTTCAGTGCTCAAAACCCGGGCAGCTGCCTTGGCCGTGCTGTCACGGACGTCGGCACATGTTCAGTGTTTGGGAATATGCTTCATGAGTAGCACAAGGGAAATACCAAAGTGTGTTTCCAAAATGGCAGCTGAGTAGATTTTCATCTGCATTTTCCACACATGCTCCAAATATCCGGTAAAGGCTGCCTTTACTTAACGTGTATAGGCGGAGTTACTTGAATAGCCGTCATTCACTGAATAACGTGCAAATACTGTTCTCCTTAAAACAAATGGACAGGTAATTGAGTTGCTATCATGTAGGACACTTCAAATTATTGAGAAACCACTACAAATGGTATTATACCGTCTCCGGTATAATCTATCATGTAGGACACTTCAAATTATTGAGAAACCAATGGTATTATACCATTGGTATTAAACCAAATGGTATTATACCGTCTCTGGTATAATCCGTGATCATAAAAGCCTATTTTTACTTATTACAGTTGTGGGATATGGCCATTGGCACGCTTTGATTTCCTTTTTGTTAGTGTGACTTTTAGCCAGAAGAGAAAGTGCTATTATCCTTCTGTAATTTAAAAAAAATTGCCAGGGTTCCAATCTGGAAAGGTATTGAAAATAGTTGTTCTTGCAGCCAACGGATCGGAAATTTCTAGTCAATACAGATTTTTTTGACATCCATAAATACCTTACGAGTTTGTAAGCGATGACAATGTTTAGATCACACTGAGATTACAGGAATATGAGACATGAGCTGATGCCACACAGTCATCTTGTACGCGCATGATAGACTAGGACAGTGAGGTTTGCCCTGGAGGCGTTGTCACCGGCCCAGGCTGACCTCAGGTGGTCACGGCTGCTCCCTGAGAGCTGGCCAGGTATCACCTCTGACAGCTTCTCGATACCTTCCTGTGTTGTGGGAGACAAGGCTGGAGGAAGGAGGATCTCCTTCTGAGATGCACTGGTATGAGACAGTGGTATGCTACAAACACAACGTGTTTTGGAAATACAAAAACATTAGCTATTTAGACAAGTTTACAGAAGTAACGGCTACCGTAAAAAACCAGTCATCTGTATTTCCATACATGTATAAAACAGTGCAGTTTAAATACAAAAGAAGATCTGTTTGCTGATTGTGATTGTTCTATTATTTATGTTGAACAGAAAGGCTTCATTAACAATCTCGGAACAGATGCAGTCAGAGCAAAATTGTGCATATTTATAATAAGATTAACAAAATATCAGTTTACTCGCAAATTAACATTACATAATAGAATGTGTTCACACAGTCTTGTGGGAGTGATGTTAAAATTCATCATATACAGTAATACAAAATGGGTCAGCTACAGTCATCGAGATAGTATTTATTGTCTACCTTGCTCTATATCCAGTATTTTCCTGTAATTTTGTCCTGCTGGAGTGATAAAAAAAAAAAAGTGTAAAAGAGCAAAGCTGCCCCCCAGCAAATAAAAAAGCTGTGTCACACTACGGAATTTGTGCAGAACAACAAAAACCATGCTTGCAACAGAAGATGGCCTGCAGACCGCTTCAGCACTATCATAGAAAGCTGTATTTAGAAAGGAGAAAACGCTTCATACAGAAAATACGCAAAAGGATGCAAATCCAGGTGTTTTGTGACTGACACTACACGAGTCATCTGCTGGCAGTGACAGTGAGAAGAAAATTGCTTTGCAAAATGTACTTGAGGAAGCATATGTGAATAGCGCATTCACTTTCAGGAGAAAGGAATAGATACTGAAACAGGAGATATGGTTTAAAAGTTATGACAGAAAAGTCATCAGCACACCGAGTGAAATTTCATCCATTTGACAAAATCACCAGCAGCGTATTGATAAGATTTTATTGGTTTGGGTTTGGTTTTTTTTTTTTTACAAACATAGCTTGAGAACAGTCTGCAGCTATGTAAAAAGCTGCCACAAAGATGAAGGGAATAATTTCCACAAGGTAGAAGGCAAGCAACGGACTTAAATTATTGCAAGGAAAAGTACGGAAACCTTTCTAACAACAAGGAGCAGAGAAAAAGATTGCCTGGGAAGAATGTGCAGCCTCCATAACAGGTGCTTTTAAGAAGTTAAAGAAATATCTGCCAGGAGCAGAAAGCCAGAGCTGGGGACGAAGGATGGATGAGAAGAGGTCCCTTCCAGTCCTATGATTCTATTATCATTTTTACACTGAAAATGATTGATATTTTTAGCGAAAACAGCTATGTAATGGTGAGTCTGATGTCCCCAATAACAAATGCGCAACCTTTACGTGCACCGCTAGGTGACTGAAGGTCATGGCTGGTCGCTGCTGTCCAACAGTTTGTGTGACCATGACAAAGGAGGATTTGGATCACCTCCAAATACAAACGCGTACCACATGGGCTGATTGCTTGGGTGTGCTAGGCGGCTGCAAAGTTTGAATGCGCTCACTGTCGCTTGCAGATGCTGAAACCCCACCACAGGCTCTAAAGCCTGAACAGACATCTCTCACGCTATTAATGAAATGCTGCTTGAAACTTGAGACAGCGAAAAGCCAGGACAAGACGGCAGCTGAGCCATTCAGGCACCAGCACGTCCCACTGTGGCGATGGGAACCTGCACCAGAAAGATGGGGAGACGCTGAGTTTCATTTTTTAAAAGGAATAAAACTTTGAACGATTTCTTCACTTCGACAGAAAACCATGCAACTACTGCACAGCCAAACGCCGTTATTCAAAGCAGCAAATGCTGCTCTGCAGGAAAAGCTCCCGTTGCAATCAATGGGTCATTCTCTTAGTAAAGGTACAGAATCAGGTCTTACTCACAGCCATAGGAGAGAAAAATGTTACTTTAATCATGCTTTAGATACACGGAAAGCGACTCAAAGGAGTTTTCACCCAGATAGTTGCCAGAAGTTTTCAATTTCTGCTCTAGTACTGTAATACAAAAAACCACAGTGATTCAGTGAAGTGGTATTTTTACTAAATAATTGTCTGGCTCCTCATTTAGAGGAGCTAAAGACTTTAGGCAACAAGTCACCTCACTTAACTTCACCCCACTGCATGTACAGGCTCCTGAGTGGTTTTGCATTTTCAAAATGCTGAACAGATTTAGCTCACTGTCTATTCTTTATGTAACAGATCACTCCTGGAAGGGGAGGCCAATGGCTTCTGGATGGCGTAGATCAACAGTGCATCTGCTAGCCTGTAGAGAAATCCTTTTGGGGAGCAGCATTTTCCCTTGCCTGAGTTGAACCCGAACTATCTCACAGAGTCTTACCAGGGTCAGATTAATTCTATATATAGCTGGTTCAGGGGAAATACAATATTTGTTTTGTCTGCTACTGGATAATGAACTGGGCGTTTTCTCAGCTGGCATTTTGCATCCTCCGGAGAAGGAGGAATTCCCGTGAGCTGACAGCTACGCAGTTGTTGGGGAACAAAGCTGGGCATTCCTCGCATTTATAGTCTTCCCACATGTTTGGTTACAATAGGTTGCACTAGTACAACCAGGATCAACTTTTAGATTCACTTGGCTGAGCAAACAGATCACTGGGGAGAGAGCTGCAGGACTCTGGCTATTTACCTCCTGTGCTCCTATCTCCTCACCTTCACCATGCCTTACGTCCACTTCTGCCCTGCTTTCTCTGCGGGGGAAAAGTCACTTGTTGAATTTTAAAAAAAGCATGGGTTAGTTACAACAGGTTCAGATGGCCACGGCTGAAAAACGAGATTAGTAAACTGTGGAAGTTTATGCTGAATTACAATCGTTGACATCTCTCTTACAGAAAAGAATAGAAAGACAGCATTTGTTTCCCTGATGGACACGCTTCCCAGAAATATGCCAGAAATAATATGCCAGCCAGGAGAGAAAGAAGAGACAGGGCTAGGGTAAGTGCTTTGCAAATTGTTCTTGTTGTGGCTGTCCTGGGAAAATTAGACAGTAAGACTTTTCCTGCTATCAGACAGCATTTTTAATAAAGTATGCTATTTTATCAGCTTGGCAAGAAATCGTCGGCTCCAGCAGCAGAAGCCGGGGGTGGCTCATGCCAGTCGCACTTACACAGCTGCTGTTCAATGGGTCTCCCGAATCCAAACCCAGCTCCTGTGAGGTACTGCCCGTGCCCCGGTGGGCAGCACAAAAAAGGGTGCCTGCGGGAAGTGGGGGATAGAGTCTTCGGTAAATCATGGCTGCTGCTAAACTGGGCTGCACTGATAGAAGAGGAATAATGCACATGCTGGGGGTTTCTTCTCCCCTTCAAGTCTTCCACCAAAACTATACCTTTACTTCCTAAAAAAGCAAAAGCTCAAAAATGCTGATTGATGCAGGTTAATATTTTCTAAAGGACCCAAGCCCTTTGCAATGTAACTTGAGTTGCTTTTTAATGTTTATCCTAAGTCTCCATTTCCCTTTTTTATGGAGCCAGCTGACCAGTTGGCAGCACCCCGCAGGTGTGGCAGGCTGTCCTTCCCTTTCATTGCCTGAAAAGCCCTTGCAAGCTCAGCAGTAAGATGCAATGACATTTGGCTGTAGCATTTCTTGCTTTTCTTAGTTTGCATTTCCCATTCCTTCCAGGAGCCAGCTGCCTGAGAATGAATTCCCAGCCTTTCTTACTACTTCGGCATCTTTTGCCTTGATTTGTAAATGCTTGGTGCATTTTTGATGTTGACTTGGTCAATAACTTGCAAATGCAACTGTGTATTTACATGAAACTTGTTAAAGTGGAATTAGCTTTTGTATCCCCAAGAAAGATAATACGGAGACAGACATATCTATATATGTGTATGTATGCACACGAGTCAACAACTTTGTGGTTTCCCTTGTGTGCCTGCCAAGGGCAAGCAGTTCTTTTGCCAGCTTCCTTGGCACAAAGA